GTTTTGCTTCAACGACGACTCGCATCGCCGTGTGTTTGAGATGCTCTTCGCCCAATCCCCTGCGTCGGAGATGTCATATCGATCAAGCGATCGCTCCTATTCTACGAGAAGAGAAAACTAGAGAACGCGAACCTGGTTTAAGCAAGCTCGCCATCGACCGTTTTCGCTTGATTGTAAACGAGCTAACGAACACTTATCGCAACTTGAGTTTTCATCCAAATCTGCCATTGTTGAAAACGTCAGGCGGTCTATACGGCCGAGGCCCAGCCACAGCTCTTGTCGTCGTCGAAATGGTGGTGGTGTTCACAGGAGCCGGGCGTGGAGTAGCAGCATAGTATCCAGTCCCAGGATAGCTTGTCGATGGCAGCGACCGTGAAATCCCAAACCTTTCCAGTCCAGACGTGGCACAGGAGACCTGCTGGTTGCTAATAGCTGGAGAGAATTGCTGCTGCTGGCTGCTGCTAATAACCGGAACGCATTGCTGCTGGCTGCTGCTAATGATCGAACAGGATTGCTGCTGGCTGCTGCTAATGACTGGAGAGAATTGCTGCTGGCTGCTAGCGGTGAGAAAGTGCTGGCTGCTAACCGGAGGACTGTCACAGCTGAGGGAGATGGTCTGGAACAGATCTGACGGCAAAAGATCGCTTGCAGACGGATACACAGTCGGACTCTTGCATGACGAGGAAACTTGCGATGAACTTGTAGTAGCTGCTGTGGAAGACTCCACCTTGATCACCTGGCGGATTGGCATCGCGCATACCGGGCACGAACTCCTGGAGTATGCACAGGAGAGACAGCAGCACATATGCGAACAATCCAGAAACACCTGCAATACATTTGCATACCCATTAGATAAAACGTAGAAAAACGAAGACAACCCTTACTGTGCTGGCATTCCGACTCGAGCAGACGACGCAGCTTGATCGCGCAAGAGAATTTTCTCGTTGGCTCCCAATAGCTCCCAGGCTACTACCACCTGTGGGAGGAGTTCCTGTTCTAGAGACTGGTTGATCTATCGCTGATGCTACTCGACAAGATGTATTCGCTAGTGCTAATGCCTGGCGAACGTGAGGAGGCGCATACGTACCGGGCTTCACCGTTGGAAGAGAAGGAAGCGGTAGAAGCGGCTCATCAGTACGATGACTAAAATTCTCGGCTTGGTATGTTTTCATAGATGGTGAAGGAACTCTGGGCTGAACCGCAACTCCCTGACAAGGCGAAGGTGAAGAAGAATCGGAAGTTACGCTCTCGGCCTGTTCCTGCTCCTCATAATCCCCGTCCACGTCCATAGAAACTGCACATACTGAGTCTTCTGAAAGACCCTGGCTGATCCGTGGTGATGTCTCATCGTCTGTTGCTTCTGACTCAAACAAGGACCATCTCATGCCTTCCACACCGTCGTATAGGCTCTCGAACTTTCTGGAGTAAACTCTTGATTTGAGAACTTGAAGACGATCCTCCAAAGAGCTGAAACACACGCATACGCCATGAGTAATATCGAAATAGAAAAACCTATCAAGGTCCAGACCTTTGAGTCAAAGTTGCCAATCCAAATACCAAAACCTTACAGCCATGATGCGTATCAGTAATCTCGGAAGCGCTGTCAAGAGAATCTAAAAGTTCGTCAATGATTAATAGACGGCTGCTCTCGTCAACTGCGATAGAAAATGTTAGAGACATTCAATGCTACAAGTCACATACCGCAACGAGTAGCTAGGCACGCTTGAACTAATTTCCATGATATAGAATCCATTAACATATCAGGGTATTTTCCTTCCAGATTCTTGATTAGTTCTTCTGCTACTTCTTTAACTTCTACGCTGTTCAACACATCAAACAAGGTTAGCATCACAGACGAACGATGCGATGCATACTGAACATACCTTAATATGCCTTGAAGGATTCTATGACCATTTTCTAAACCTGTAAGTTTTTTAGCATGACGGGCTACAATCACAGCCGCTTTCATTGATCGATCGTCGGGTAATGACCACCGAATAATTTCAACAAGGAGTGGTCCAGTTACCTGCCAAAAGATGTGAACCCGCAGGTATCCAGCAAACGAGATCGTACCGGATGGACTCCAATGTTTAAAATATCAGCATTCGTTGTCATCTCGATAGCTAAATGCGCTAAACTTTTCACAGCTTCATCTTCAGGAAAACGAGGTTGTGGACCAGGACACCTAAGCGATGATATCAATCTCTCAGCCTGGAACATAAGTTGAGCAAGTAGAAATGTCGATAATAGTATACAGTCTATACTGACCAACCATTGGATGACATATGCTCCAGATTGGTGTAGAGACATAGCCGCCTACAACTTGGAGTTAAGGTCAAGATCGGGGACCACTGTTCCACTTACCACTGATCCAGTGATGCCCTTCATTACTAACCTAAGCTCTTCAGAACCTTGCACTAACGAAAGCTGGAAGAGAGTCAGGCCAAGGAAACATTAAGAACAAAACATACCATTTTCTGTACAGAGAAAGTCCCACGGGGATCATGAGCAGCTTTAACAAATCCATTCTTCCGGCATAGCGACCGAACAAGTGCAGTAAAAAATGATTCTCCATTTGTCGCGTCGTCACGAAATGCTGCTGCATAATCTAGCATGCCCTGAAGCACATAATTTGCTGATCCTGGATACCAAAAACGAAGTGAGATTTCCATAAGAGCAGCAAAAGAAACAAACCATGCAGTGCTAGCCTCAAAGCAAAAGGAGTAAGCACATCCCGACAAGTCTTTGCCACTTTATGCCGTTTAGAATAGTCTTCCCGCAGCATAAAAACTAGATTGATAGCTCTCTGGGCATCGTTCGTTGGTTAGCAGCATGCACAAAGAAAGGAGAAATCAGAAGAGCTCTCACCTTATCAAACGCCATAGCATGGATGTCTGCGTCTGGCCGGAGAGGAGGTATCACATACCCAGGAGGAACTTCGGCAACTTTAAACACCATCTTCAGCCCACCAGTCGCGGCTCGGCAAGGAATGTAGTCATTTCCTCTGCCGATCGACATGTTTCCCCTCCTCCCAAAAATATTTTCTTCGGGTAAAGGTCTACACTCTACCTTTGTTGGAAAATTTACTGTTTCATTCTTTGTTGGTGGAGCGTCGAGGTACCCTTCGATCGTTTGCCGGCAAAATGGACACTTAACACCCTTATCAGCCTGCCAAGGAAGAACTTTAGCAAGGAACCACAAGCCAAGCGCCAAGGAAACAACGAACCTTATATACATTTGCTATTCGAATCCTTTGTACGCAGTCCTTGCAAGCCCGATGCGAGCAGGGACTGAAATACACATCGCATTTGGCCGCGTCGCAGATTACGCAGCACGAATCCTCCTGCGCCATCGCCCCGGCGATTCCCACAGCCAGAAATGCCCCGCCTGCCAAAGCCGCGGCGAAAGCCCTCGCCTTGGATCGATTGATCGATTGATCAAGGGAAGGCAAGAAACTGACCTCGGCAGCTCCAAAATCTCGCCAGCGCCGCCGATCCAGGCGACCGACGGGAAGAATGGAACTCAAAAATCGAGGCGCTCGCTCTTCGCCCGGCCCAGAAATATGCGTGAGGGGTTTTAGGGGTGACGCGCCAAAAGACTGTGGAGTACGGCCACTACGGTACGACAGTGATACACAACGGTCATGGGTTCGATTCCATTCCTAAAATCATGCCATAGACGACTCATCATCTCAATCTCCGGTTTAGTAGCTTCCACGCTCTCAAGGCCGAGTGCTTGAGCGACGCCGCGAGGCTGCGTTTCTTCGTGGACTCTCGATCCAAGGTCTTGTATGCTGCTGCTAGGATGAAGATCGCGGGGTTTAATCTGGAAGATCCGAAGGAGTGAGGATCCGGAAGAACAACAAAGCTAGCCATCGCTTACTTCGAAGGCGAAGGGATTTTCCTCTTGGGCTTAAACGTCTCGATGTACCAGCCGCCGATGTTGTGAGTGAGTGATCTGGGCTGGAACAACCAGTATCTAAAACATTCCTTTCGTCGGTCATTCCTTCCTCTGGAAAAACAAGAAAAGGAAGAAAAAAGAAAACGTGTGATTCACCTGCTAGGCAACAGCCACGCTCGCCTACACCGGCAATCACAGTGCATTCTCTCGTCTCCAATTCTATACCAGTGAAGATGCCTCACCTGTAAGTCTGGTCAGGTCATGCCGCTTTCATAGAGAAACTAAACTCCAACTAGAAATTCAAGTCCTCGTGTACGTACCATGGGTGTCCTGTGCTGTAAAACAGTGTGAGTAACGACGCCCTCTCGGTCGAAAACAACGCCTTGGAGCCCCGCGTCCATGGCGGCCAGTCCCTGTATTCTTCCCAGGAGCTCGCCACCACCGGCGTCATCGTCCGAGTAAACCGAGATAGAGTCGACGATAAAAGGCTCTTCCCGGATGTCTCCAGCGTACAAGGGCCTTCTTAGCGCGTAAGCTGCGACTCTTCCGTTGATCTTGAGCTCTAGCTTGTCATAAGCTGCTGCGTCGACCATCCGCCATAGCTTTTGCTCGTCGTCCCACGCTTGTCTCTCCCTGGGGAAGTTTTTAAGCTGGACCCGCGACACCGAGACGGTGGCGAAGAGAAACCGGCCGTAAACGAGCTGGAGTATGTCACCGACGAGAGTGCTGGCCCTTTCCTCGGCCTCGAAAGCATCCGGTATACCGCGGAGACCTCGACACTCTGGGCCATGGTAGATGTTTTTCAGCGCTGCCGCCAAGTCCGTGAGGAATGCCTGGTAGAGGTTGGTGGTGTGTCCCAGCTCCGGCCTTTGATGGACAATCCTGGTAACTTTGGATCGGTACTTCCTCAACCATTCCACCACCTCCGAGTCATCAGCAGCGTCTGCGTAGGAAAAGCCACAGTTGGAGCTCTCCCAGTTTCTAGACGGCTTTGCTTTTCTTGAGGGCGGTGCTTGGGATGAAGACGATGGTGATGACACTGATCCAAACGATGAAAAAAACTCGCTGTCATAGATGGCACGCTTATGTGGGTCGGACAAGATCTGTGCAAGGAAGACAGTAAGCTCCACTCGAAAGAATGTAATCCCTTGCAGCCTACAAGCACCCCAAGCTACGCTAAGCTCACGAATAGCAAAACTAAAGCCAGACCTGGTACGCAGCTAGAACGCGGATGAAGCGGGCAGCGCTGTCTCCCCCGCCGCCAGCGCCTTGCAAATCCGGATGCGTCGCCTTGGCCAGCTGCTGGAACGCCTTCTTGATGTCGGCATTGGAGCAGTCACGCTGAAGCCCTAGGACCTGGTAGGCACTCTCCACCATCAGTTTGACGAAGCCCAAAAGTTTAGAAAACGGCCAAAGGAAAAATGTAGCTACTGAAATTTTGGTCTGCCAATCGACATCACTGTTCACATGAACCCCCACGTTAAGAATCGCAGAGAAAAAAAAAAAAGAACGAAAGAAAGAGCGAACTCCTATGGCGCGGAGCTACGATCCGGTTGAGCTATCAGTTGCTGGAGCGTCATCTCGTGGCAGAGTTGGAACGAATCGCCGGACCAAATGGACTTCGCCAAGAACTCGTTGGCACGGTCAGTCGGATGAAACTCGTCCCACCATACGTGGGTGCTTGCGTTGTGACAGGCCATTTCTGGGAGCAAGCACATCAGCCACCCTCCGAATCGTCCCATACCACAGCACGCGACGGTTGCAGTCTGGAAACCTGAGATTTGCTAAGGTGATCAGATTTTCACAAGCAAGAATTTTAGAATGGTGCATACGTACCAAAGCTCGAAGGATTCTGGACGATCGGGAACAAACCGTCGTATATGTCGCAGTAGATAACGTCCAGATCTGTGTGGCTTTCATACATCTTCTCCACTTCGACTCGTAAAGCGTTGTTGTATTCCTCCACCATGAAGTTGATCTCGGAGATACAGCTACCCGTTTTGCTGCCGTCTTCGTATAGAAAGTAAGGTGTGCATCCGAGAGGACCAATACCCACGACGACCATTTTACGAACGCCGACATCATACAAGATCTGGAGAGAACGCGTCAGCAAAGCATAAACGCTGTCTAGACCAGTACCTTGAGCTGTGAAACCAGCGTTGCTACGAGCAAGTTGTTGAAGTCCAGTGGCGAGATGTCAGATTCTACACCGGAGACGTTCCTCAAGTAGTAGTGAATGAAGTCGTTGCTTCCGATGGAGATGTAGTGCAGAGATCTGGACATCAACTTGCGAGCAGCTTCTCGTCCGTGATTAAACACCAGTTGGTCTTTGAAATCAGACACTTGCTGGATCTGTTCGACCAGAGGAATGTGTTGGCCCTGTATGGTAAAACACCCGAAGCCTCAATGACTTGTATTCGAAGAACAAAGAGAAAGAAAAATTACCAGGTCGCCACCACTTTCACTGAGAATTCCAGCCCCAGCAGAAGCGAAGTTGGCACCGTGTCGCATGGTAGTGATGTTAAGTCCGCTCAGGAAAGGAGCCGGGAAAGGAAGCCCGATGAACTTTGCTGGAAAAAAAAAACACAAAAAAACCAGGCTATCAGATAATGCTTAAACCAAACGTTACCAAGGTAGTCGATGCTCAAGCGGCCATTGCTAAATCGTCCAGTTGGCTCGTGAGTGTCGAAATCCTTGCCATACGGAGGAATATCGGCTCTGGCCAGCGTCCTGAGGAAATTGTTGTTGCCGACATCGACAGTGGAGTCGCCGTAGACGAAATACGCTGGAACGAGCGGTACTGCGGCATTCTCCTGAACCAGCGGCTGATCTTGAGCACGAAAGAGCTGCGCGAGTGCAAGAATGCAAGCTAGTGCGAGAAATCGAGCTGCATTTTCAGGAATTTGCCTCAGATATCCAAGAAACCGCCACGGCGCATAGCAAAACCAGAATCTTGAGCGATCGCACGAACCTGGGCCTGGCGCCATGATCAATCCCTCGCGCTCGTCCGCAAAACCCTACTACATAGGCGCGAAATACAAAAGCCCTTTTACTTATATACAATATTCTTGCATCTTTTAACATTAAGCTCTCGTTTTATCTTTAATTGGTACAATGGTTTTCTATACACTGGGATATTGGATTTGTCCCAAACAAATCAACACGAAACTCTCGATCGACTTGCGTCTATACGAACGATTCTTCTATCCTCTTTTATCATCGTGCTAGCTGGTCGTGAAAATCCTGGCACAAAAATACCAAGCACAAAAGAAACCAAGCATTGTTAGAGCTCGACCTATCGAGAAGACAACTTTCACAGTACCTTGAGCAAAGAGACATCGTCGTTCGCTTCCTTCGAAGAAGAGCTGCTTCTCGAGCTCAAGCTTCCGCTGGACGAGTGTTCCCGAGTCAGGTAAAGAGATCCCCTCGTCAGAGTGGAAAAGTCTGGAGGAAATGGATCTCTGATCTCGCTGGCGCTGCTCTGAGAAGAATCGGACGTGACTGGAGGACCAACACGGAGCTTGTTGATGCGCTCGAGCCGGTCTTGGACTTCCATGGAAAGATGGCCAAAGCACGTCACGCAGACGCAAGTGCTGTCGAGGCCGCACCTCCCAACGGGACCATGAGGAGAAATCCGAGTGTGCTTGACGCAAAACACTCGCTGACACTCCCGGCAGTAGTGCTTGCTAAATCTCATTCGCCAGTCCGTCGGGTTGTACCACCGATCAAAGCGATGCTTACAGCCATCGTAGTTGCAACTGCAGAGTCACACGGCTTCGGTTAAGTCCGCTGGTGAAAAAACGACCGAACTCAAGGCTTACCGGTGCCGCCTTCTTTGCTTGAGAGCGGAGGCTTCCAGCTCTCTCAAGGAACCGCCGGCGCTTCGTTCGCTTTCATTTAGATTCGCAGGCGAGGAAAGAGACCGAGCTTCCACCGTTTGTCCCGAGTCCGCACTGTCCTCTAAAGCATCCAGTTCCATCGCGCTGGACGACTTGCCCAGTTTGGTGAGGGTGCTGGCCATGCTGACAAATGTTCTCGCTATGTCCAGCTTCTTGCTCTCGTTTAACTGGGCGTTTTGAATAGCGGCGAGCATCTCATCTATGGTGCAGTCTGGAGTCGAGTATCCTATAGCGTCACGGAAGCTGTCGCTGGGACTGAGAACTTTTTCCTCCATGCATTCCGTCGACCTTAGTTGCGGGCAAGCTTGCTTCGACAAGATAAAAACCTTCCGCTGTACTGACAGCCATCCCCGGCATAGCGACACGAAACCACGAGCCAATGTTCTCAGCCAAAAGCTTTCACTGTCCCGAGCCGCATAAACTGTCAAAGTCGCACGCTTGAAGAACTTTCTCAGCACAACCACTGCGGCCAGCGTCATGCGGAAAAAGAAGCTCTGCCTTGAAAGAACTCCCAAGAGAAAAAGGCCGCCATTGACAGACCATATCCATCCCCAAGGAGTAGTGCTCGTCTCGACCGATTCTTGCTGCTTGAGGTTCACCACCTTCGCACCATGAACTAGTGACGCAGGAACGAAGTCCGAATTCTTTGCAACCGGATTCAATGTAACGGAGCGAGGTGACGCTGTGCAGTTGGTGATAGTAACCCTCTCGGACGGACCATGACCACCCCAAGATTGCATCCTGTAAGAATAAGCCTTTCCCAGGAACAACTCGTCGCTGTCAAAAAATGAAGTCTCTTTCGTATCGGCCAGTGGCAACCACGCCGATGCTGCCCCGGACCACCTATAGAGCCGATACTTATGAAACGGTGGATATCCAGCAGTCGCCGGAGGCTCCCAGTTGATCTGAATGCCACCACAACTCGAAGGTTGGCAACGCATTCCCTGAGGAGCACCGGGAGTGGTTCCAAACCCGAAGATCAGACGGACAATGGCACCTGTTATCTTCCTCCGGTGCAACGAGCTCGACACTCCAAGTTCTTCCGCAAGAGCACGGCCGTCGTTCTCAATGAGCGAAAGGAAGTCAAGCCCGTTGATGGCGTTTCGTTGGAAGGCATCCGCATACTGTGGAAGCTGCAAGCCGTGTGAGACCCAGTTCACAACCGTATCAGCTGTGAGCATATTTTGCAAGTGATCCTGTTATAGTTTGACACGGTAAGTGTTACGTAAAGCCAAAAAAGAAAAATTCAACGATTCACCTTCATCTCCTCGGAAGAAATTGTTTTTCCTCCATAGCTAAACTCAAAGTTTGGCCCAACAGGAGGAGCATCCCTTGACGAACCCCCGGCCTCTTCTTTAACATCAGACGAAGCGTCCAGTTCGGAAAGAAACTGGACCACAAATAAAAAGAGTGGTGTTGAAAAATCTTCCAAACAAGTGGCGCATACCTTAGTCGCTTCATGACGCTCGATCTGTCCATCCCCGTCTCGATCGACCGAGCAAAAGAATTTGTGTAGATTGTAAATCGTGCCTGTCTCACACACACACACGAAATCCCTGAATGAGAACGCGAATCACTGCTCATTTCGGACAGAATGCACCTCTGGCGGAATGGCAAGTAGAAATCCTGGCGAGCAGCGCAAGAACTAGAAGAATCCAGAAAATCTTGGGGCAGCCCCAGCGGCTCATCGGCCGAACCATCTGATCAATTCAGGCCAAAGAGACAGCCACATTCACCCCCACGCGATCGCCACAGCGGCGCCAGGAGCGCGTACCTGGAGCGTCCGGAGGAGGATCGCTGCCCGTGACGAAGCCGATCATCGAGCCGGCCCTCGGCACCTATATACAAGCCTCCATTAGGGAAAGCTATTGGCTAAGTGACGAAAAAGTAAAAGATCGCAGCCGTCCAGCCAGGCATCACGGGCCGTCGATTGGGTCCCTCTTGCCGGGGTTTTAGCCTGGGGGAGCTGACTCTCAATGGTACATGTGTGCAACGTGAGATCGATTCTTTTCGCTACCTACGTATCCAGCATGGTGGAAGCAATCACCTCTTGACAGCTCTGATGTTTACATTGTTCACGAAAATGATTTGGTCAATCTTATCGAACAGATCCAGAAAATGCCTGGAACTCAAACGATAAAAAAGCTTTGATAAAATCTCTTTCGGTGATGCTATGTGATCACCACCATCGCTACTAGCCGCCTGTACTACACGAAGATCTCGTCCGAAAGGAACGGCTGTGATTGGGCAGCGAACGGTTGTGGCCCCTTTTCCGCGCCAACAGAGTTTTTAGATCTTTAGGTCAGCCAATCCCGGGAGAAGGATCGATCAATGGCGTCCGCGAATGCGCCCTACGCGACGCTGTACAACCAGCCCAAGTACGAGTCTCGCAAGCAGGCGGACTTACCGCCGTGGGAGAAGGAGCAGTGGGCGTGGAAGAAGAGCAAGACATGTAACAGCGGCGGACCCAATGTGGGCGCGACGCCCGACTTGATCACGCCCGAGCCGCTACCGCCCGCGGTACCGCCGGCGGTAAGCCCGGTGCCGTGCGCCCAGTCGGCCCCCTTTGGGACCGAGGAGAACATGGCCAACCACACGGACAAGGTACGCTCGCGACACGTGTTAGGTTTGAAGTAGGGATGTGTTGAGATATCCCACATGCACTGGCGTGGAACCAGGGCAGGGTGTGGGTATAAAGAGCGAGGGTTCAGTCGGGAGATATTATAGAGCCGTGTGGTCAGCGCAAAGCGAACTATTCTTTCGCCTTTTACTAAAGAATACCGTGTGCTGGCCACATTAAAGCGGCATATCAAAATTTTTGGGCCGCCTCTGCAAAGGGGCACCAACAAATCTAAATCACTAAGAAGGAAAGCCAGTTCTTGGGAGATAGTTCTTGTTCTTAAGATCTGTTTCTTTGGATCTTACTTTGATGGTTTGTCTTGCAGCCTGATGCCGATACCATTGCGGAGAACAACAGGGCTCCGTGGGAGCGAGAAGAGAGCCCCTACTTCTCCAAAGTGGTCAGTGGATCAATCGAAACCCAATCTAAACAAAAAATCAAGACCAACGGTGATGACCCTTTATCGTGTAGTTTATGAGCTCTGCGACGCCCCCGCCGTCTTACCTCCACACTGCGCGTTGGAGGTGATCAAAGGAAGAAGAAATCGAAGCTCGGCATTGTACGGATATAAACATTCCGTACAGTTGCCGCTAAGCTGGCATTATTTACCTAGCTTTCTTCGTGCGTGCGCTGGGACAAGTAAATAGCCGAGGTGATCCAGAAGCAGCGGTAGAAGACCAATGACGATAAATGGAATAGATCGCGAGAATTTGATTTCCCTGTTGATCAATGCCAGGTTTTGTTCGCTTATATTTGTGTTGTGGTAACAACGGGACGAGTGGGGTAGGGTTTTTGGCGATGCAATGCTGCGCGTCCCGGGGGTGAGTCTCGTCCCCATCGCCACGATCCAGGGTGGAAAGTCGAGGCACAAAACGCGAGATTTCGCTGCGCGATCCTCCTGTCTGGTTTGTGGATCTGTCGCGAGAGAGAAGCAATTGCGAGGTTTGCTAACGCTTGCTTATGTAGGGAAATGAGAATGGTGGTTCCGCTTCCTCAGGGGGTGGTAAATCTTTCTTCGTGGCTCGATCGATTCGAGAATTTTGCTCTAAAGGTCCAATCTTCCTTGCAGGACGCGACGGAGTGACGAGGGTGAAGTTCGTGCTACAGAGACAATGCATGTTTGGCGAGCATTTCAAAGTGATTGGCGGCCATCCAGCGCTGGGCGAGTGGGATCCCAGGGCAGCGATACCTCTAGAGTGGTCTGATGGTCACAATTGGACGACAGAACTAGTAAGCACCACTCTAGGACGTAAGTGTGGAGTGGATTTCTTCGTTTCTCTTCGTCACCCTGATTGCGTGTTTCTTGCTCAGGACGTGCCACAGGGGAGCGTCTTCGAGTATAAGTTCGTATTGCAATGTCAGAATGGATGGATTCACTGGCAGCCCGGCCCCAACCGCGTCTTCTCGACGCCGGAAAAGAAGCCGTCGCTGGTTGTCTCCCAGACTTGGGATTTTGATGCCAAGGGTATGGAAGACGGCGACGCCACTGAAGCTCGAGAGGAAAGTTTATCAGGTGCTGAAGCAGCTCGTGGAAAGAACATGCTGGAAACTGAAGCTCCACAGGAAACCATGCCAGATACAAGAGCTCGAGAGGAAAGTTTATCAGGTGCTGAAGAAGCTCGTGAAAAGAGCATGCTAGAAACTGAAGCTCCACAGGAAACCATGCCAGATACAGAAGCTCGAGAGGAAGGCACGGCCTTGGCTAGCGAGGGTGGAGATCAAGCAGCCATTTCTTCCCTGGAATCAAGACAGCTTGGTGAGCAAGCAGGATCAGACAGTGAACAAGAAGAACAAGAAGAACAAGAACAAGCTTTTGAGGCCTTGACGCAGTGCATCGAACTCCCTGGTGGTCGTCCTGATACTCTTCCCAATTTCGACAGCGCGAAAGTATGTTGCTTCTTTCTTTTCCTTTGCTTTTGGTGGCATGAGCTTTGCATTCCAGGAGAGGAATGTGATCGAGCTGCAAGTTTCAGAGGTTCGTGTGGAGCCTCAGCTCCAGCCTACAAAACTCACCGTGTGGCAGAGGGATCGTGCCTGGTTTTCAAAAGTGCTTTCATTCGTTTTTAAAAGATGACAAGGTCTCGTGGTTTACTTCTGTGTTTGCGAGATCGTTATTCGCATGAAGTCGATGAGCGCACAGAGGCGGCCAAAGAATTTAGTGTCGAATGCCGCATAGGAGTGTAATACATGTTTGCAGCAAATACGCCGAGAGATTTAAATATCTATAATAATGATTTTTTTAACCACGTCTTGATGTTTGCTCTCAAGGTTGTTAATTGCAGTGTGAAGCGAAGAGTGTGTTATGAATGTCTAGATCTGGGCAAAAAAAAGTTTAAAAGACAAAGGAAATCCAATCAATGGTATTCTAGTATTACTAAAGCATCAAAGAGGCTTCAAACTAAATTGGATACTAAACTGTGTAGGGAGTTGGGAGTTTCATTAGGACTTACAAACATCTCACTATCATTTTCTTGGGATTGTATACACGAAAAATAAAATTTATTTGGCCATATTCTAAAAGTTTCAAGAAAGATGAATCTTATAAGCCTTGGAATGTACTTCAAGCATGAATTCGAACTATAAACTACAAATTCCACTAAAGAAAAACATTGTGGACCCAATCACACTCCAGTGACCTTGAGGCTAAGAAGAACAGTTAGTGAGCCACTCCTCTTGCTGCCTCCCTATTGCTCCCTATTGGACAACGGTCAGTTGAGTGTCAATGCTAGTTAACACATTGCATGTATAGTCCAAAGGTAAATGTTTTGTTTATGTGTATTTTGTAGCTATATATACCTAATTATTATGCTTATAATTATTTCTTCAATTCTTCTTTAGATCTGGTTAAAGTGGAATATAACAATTGTTGTGATACTATTCCAATTTAGTTTTCAATATAACAAAACTGGCAGTGTATACTGGGCAATTGCTAGTTACTATATGAGTGAACTATCATTTAAGTAGTAGTAAACAAAGTTTACATAAATAATTTATGAATGAATAAAATTCATAAACATATGTGTCCTCGATTCAAGGAGGAGAATAATGAGATGGTCACCAAGAATAGTCTTATAGTCTGCTCTACTTATCCATAGTGAGTCCAAATATCTCTATAACTGTTATCTCTGTGAGCCAATACATGCTAGATCTAGGCCCAAGCATGTTCAAACACTAACTAGTTTTTTATTCCTGTCATTTGGATCTCCAAGATAATCTGCATCTGCAAATCAAATGAGTTGAGAGCTCCCCTTGTCACCTGTGTTGCCGAGTACAAAAGACCCCAAGTGCTTGTCTCTTCAAGGTAGTGAAACATTTTCATTGGTGCAATTAGCTGGACAAACAAGAAGTAGTCCATGGTGGCAACCTCAACAACATGAATCATGCATCAACCATCAAGCAAGTTATCTGGCTCAGTAAATTATTTCAGGACTTGGGAGTTGCACACACCTCTACATTGACTCAGCTCTACAATGACAATTCCTCAGCTGTGCTCACAATCTTGTACTTCATGGCAGCACAAAACACATTGAGGCCAGATTTCACATTATGTGGGATCATGTCTCCTGCCAGCAAATATCTCTCAACCACAGGCACCACAAACTCTTGGAATGAGGAAAACACTTGGCTGGGCAGCCAAGTGTGTTTTACGCTTCTTTGTTTTCAGACAGCATATTCTCAGAAACTGCCTTTTGCATTACATATCCATCGAACTTTTTCCTGCGCTTATGAATGGGACAGATCCTGGTCGCAGGCTTCTTCAGCACTACTCGCGTTTCATGATCAGCAGCACGGGACTTCGACACAGAAACGATTCTAGCAGGGTCCGCCGAATGCAACTGGAAAGGTAACTGCTCGGTTTTTAACATGATGTTGGAAATGATTCTTCTTCTGTCAAGTGCAGCCAGACAATCTCCCAGTTTTCGAACTCAGCCCGGAAGTTAAAAGCGGGAGCGAACAGCTGAATGTTTACGCCACCTAGGCTAGATGGAGATGAGAAACGAAGAAAGGAGACATCAGTTGCAATTGATCCAGTAAACCAACTCTCGGCTGTTGATGACGACGCTGTTCTCATAGAGGGGCATCACACGAGCTAGAGCAATGAGAAAACAAAATCCAAGGGATAATTTACAGGAAAACTTCCATGCTATGCCCTGGCGTGGACGTTGGAGAGCAAAACGAAGGGGCCACCATCCTGGTTTTCCAGATTGTGAAGCTCCGTGGCTGCCAAAGATGCCTTTTGGACGTTCCCTTGCAATCCACAGGCGCTCAACACCGATCTCCACGATACAGTGCCAGGCTCAAAAGGCATCTCTAGAACAATCTCCTGCGCATCCGCAATCCTGCCCAGCCTCCCCAGCAGATCGATCACGCAGTTAAAGTGGTCGACCACGGGAGCAATCTCAAAGTCGCCAACCATGGACGAAAACTCACAGCACGCGGTGGCCAGCATCCCGGCATGGCTGCATACGGATAGAACACACACGAAGCTAACCTCGTCCACTTCGATCCCTTCCAGCTCCATCTCCTTGAACAGCTGCAGCGTCTCCGCCCCTCGCTCGTTCTGCGCATACGCAGCCAGCATCGAGTTCCAAGCCACTCGCCCGCGATCCTCCATTCGATCAAAGATCTCCCTGGCGGCCTCGGGACACCCGCATTTCGCAAACATGCTCACGAGCTTGGTGTCGATACCGGCGTCCGGCGGATGGACGAGTTCTTCCACGATCATGTGAATAATCTTGGCCTTCGTAGTGCAGGCGAGCCCGGAAGACGCATCTATGACTCCCATCAGTGCGGACTTGTCCGGATCGACGCCCTCCATCGCCATGCATTGGAAAACTTCGAATGCATCTCTGCTATGCCCGTTCTGGGCATACGCCCAAAGCATGGCCGACCATGTCAGCGTGTTTCGAATCGGCATGGATTGGAAGATGGAATGCGCTCGCCCCGGCAAGCCGGCCGATCCGTAAGCTGCGATTGCCGCCGTTGAGGATGCGACGTCCCAGTTCGGCATCCGGCAGTAGACAGCCTCAGCGTGAGCAAACTCCCCGTTCTCGGCATCTGCTGCAAGCATAGCGCTCCAAGAGACCAAGTTCCTCTCCGGCATGCTCGTGAAGAGGTATCTAGATTCCTTCAGATGCTCGCCCTTTCCTAGGGCCGTGACCATTGCTGTGCTAGAAACCACATTGCTATGTGGGATCTTGGCGTAGATCTCTTTTACTCGATCCAAATCGCCCGCCTCAGCAAATGCCGTAAGAAGCGCGTTCCAAAATGGAAGATCTCTCCCGGTCGCCTGATTGAACAGCGCCATGGCCCGATCCAAATCGAGATTCCGAGCAAACCCCAGCATCATCGTGGTGCACGACACGGCGTCACTTTCATCCATCGCCTCGAAAATCACCAACGCGCTGGCAAAATCCCCGTGCTCCACAAACGCGCTCATCATCGCGTTGCAGCTGGGCACATTCCACTGCGGCATCCGGTGAAAGATCTCCTCCGCTTCTCTGAGATTCCCATTCTCGGCGTTCGCGACGATCATCGCCGTGCAAGGCACGACAGTGCGCTCGGGCATGGCATCAAACAAGATTCCCGCCTCTAAAAGATTCCCTGCCTGGGCATATGCTGTCACAACGATGCTCCACGAAACGACGTTGGCGACGGGCATCCGTGCGAATAAACCGCGCGCTTCATCCACATAACCGCGCGCGCCATACGCCGTGATAACCACGTTCCAGACGACGATGCTGTGCCCGGGCATCTTAGCCAGTATATGCTTAGAATTAGCAAGATGCCCATTATGGGTATATGCCGTGACAAGGATTGTCCACGAGTAAACGTTTCTCTGGTGGATCGCATCAAATGCTTCGCGCGCTTCGATGACGCTGCCACAGCTGCCGTACATCTGGACGAGAAGATTCCCCACGAATCTTTCTCGATCCCGGCGGCCGTGGCGGGCGAGGAGGGAGTGGAGTTGCCTGCCCCTGGAGAGCGATCGCGCGCTGCCAAATTGCCTCAGCAGCTCGGCGCAGCGCTTCAGTTCTAGCTGGGGATCCGGTTCCTGAAGCTCGATTTTGGCTGCGATTGTAGCAATCGATCTCCGGAGTCCCATTCACTCCATGGTTGAGATCTAGGGTTCTCTCGTCGTGATCCAGTGGCGGCATTGGCAACTACCAGGCTCTGGACGAAGAAATCTCTTTGGGATCCAGTGGTAGCGAGGAAGATCCTCCATTCCAAGCTCCCAGCAGCAAAGGGCATAGTGGCAATGAGCTCGGCGGCATCTCGCGGGCGTCCTCCTCGGCACAGCGCATCGATCACACAGCAGTAGTGGCTCCTCCAAGGTGCGATTCCAAAATCCGTGCTCATGGACGCGAAGCAATGCCGCGCCGCCGAGAATCTGCCCTCCCGGGCCAGCGCCGCGAGAACAGACACGAAGCATCCAGCGTCGGGAAGAACCTCCGCCATGAGCTTCATCCCATCGAAAATCTGGAGCACTCTTTTGGAATCTCCACTCTGGGCATTTGCTGCCAGCGCGGTGTTCCACGCGATTTCATCCTTTTGGTCCGGCATTGCGGAGAAGAGCCGATTCATCGATCGGGTGTGTCCAGCCATGGCAAGCGCCACAAGCATCGCGCTCCAGGAGAAGAGATCCCGGGCAGGCATCGCCGCGAAGAACGAGCTTGCCTCTTCCAGATGCCCCGTTTGGGCAAATGCCGAGATCATGGAGTTCCAGGAGACAAGATCGTGAAACTCCATCGAATCAAAGATGTGCTTCGAAGATTCTATTTGACCGTTTCGCGAGTACGCAACAAGCATTGCATTTTGTAGTGCTAGATCGTGTTCGTGTGATGAATCATAGATCGCCTTAGAGATCTCCAAATCCCCGCTCTGGGCAATTGCACTAAGGATTGCCGTCGAGGAGATCAAGTCCCACTCGGGCATGGAAGCGAAAACCTCCTTCGCCATCTCGCAGATGCCAGATTTTTCGCACGCTTGTAACAATGCTGTCCAGGAGATCAAACTTCGCATCGGCATCGCCAAGAACAGCGCCTCCGTTTCCTCCAGATGCCCCGCCTTGGCAAAAGCGCACGTCATTGCGTTCCAGGAGATCAAGCTCCGGTCCTCCATCTGATCAAACACCCTCTTCGCGGCGTCGAGATCGCCGTGCTGTGCGTGCGCGCAGAGCATCGCAGTGGCGGATATGAGATTCAGGAGCGGCATCCGGTGGAAGAATTCGGCGGTGTCGTGGTAGCAGTCGTTTGAGACGTAGGCGACGAACATAAAGTCCCAGGAGAAGGAATCGCGAGCGCCCATGGAGTCGAATATCCTCCTCGCGTTCCTAGCGCTCCCACAGCGCCCATACATTGCTATCAGATGGTTGCAAAGGAAGACATCGCAATGCTTGAGCTGGATCTCTTGCTCGATCCTCTGGGCTTGGCTCAAGTGTGAGCATCTCATCACCAATCTAATGCATTCCTCTCTATCCATATTAAGTAGTTCCATGGCAAATCAGCAAGAAGTTCTTTCTTCTTCCTTCCTCTCCTTTCATTTCTTCAACACTCTACACTCTTGCTCTGCAAATTGGACAAGAGGTGCTCAGCGAGAGCCACTTTTGGATGCACGGCGAGTGGAAGCTGTGCGAGCATTTGAGAAACATCCGCTCGCCCACCATTCGATGAGCAGGATCACCCTCCTCTTGCAATTCACCTAGGCATATAGCGCAGCGCTCGTCACCAATGATTCTTCTTGATCCCGCGGCGATGGAGAGCTGGATGGAACAATCAAGCATTTCCAAGAATGGCCTTTCTGTCCCGTGGCGAGCGGGAAGAACACCAGTGATCCTGTGCTCCTCCTCTCCGATGAAAAAGCTGTGCTCCAAATCGAGCTCAATCTCTTCTTCGCCACGGCAATTGAGAACTCCTGCCAGAGCTGCTAAGCTGAGCAACACGTAGGCAATAAGCATCGATCCCAGCGCTGCTACTCCAATTTGGATAAGAATGTAGCCCTTGGCAAACGGCAACAGCGCCATTGCCAGCAGTAAGCACACAAGGCTGGCGCCCATATCTTGCAGCATTTCAACCATCTTCTTCTTCTTCTTGAATCTCCTTCTTTGCAAGCTAGTTATTTTGGAGGACAAGAAGCTTCAAATGCAGCCATTGAGTTCTCCTTCTTCTTTGATTCTGTCACTGGATAAATGGGATTCGTTGTAGCCAGGCGACCAGGATCACTGATCCTGATCTTTCCCCAGCGATTCTTCATTCACTCGCAATTTGGCAGGATTATACAAGACTTTCAAAGATCGCGAGTGTCGCCAGTACTCTATACACTGTATCTGATATGTTTTCTATGAGTGTAATTTCACGCTGCATTTATTTATGGACATCGTTTTAAAGAACCGATTTCAACCATGAACACTAAAGAAACATGCTAGTGTCAACGCTTTGATTTCTCAGGTGTTGAGAAGATCATGTAAGTAAAAACTCTGTAATTTGCTACATGCCATAGTACAATCAAAATGTTGGAAGAGGTTTTCCAGCTAGAAAGCTTTGGAACATTGCGAGCGCTGGGCCTGGTCGATCCGTGGGAACCATGTGGCCAGCTCCTCGAATCGTCGCAAACGTGAGACCTTCGTATACCTGAGTCCATCCTCCAACCTTTCAAACACACCCCCCATGTTATAATCGACCAATTGAAGTTAGAAACCAACCTCATCTTCGTAGTCCCACGTATACCAGGGCGTGTGTACGGTGAGATTGAGAGCATCGATCCAGCTTCGGCTTGATAGTGTGGACACAACGGAATCCCAATCTCCACTGGAAAGTAAAACCAGTGCTTAGCAGCACAAGACAAGTTAAACAGGTACCTGTAAATCCAGATCCTTATGCCGCTTGTAAGAAGTTTTTTGTACACAGGAAGCATAGAACCATCAAAATCTGACCTCGAATACGCAAAGTTGATAGTGTCGCTGCACAAAAACACGTTAAAAACTTGGACATTTCTTTGAGCGAATATTGATTTACCTGCACATACTCCAATCCACAGGACGCCTCGCGACATGCAGGGCTTCCTGAACGTCGTGCGAGTTCAGGAACGACGCTATCCAATCTTCGCAAGTATCGTACACTCTCCGCAGCAGATTCTTGTGAAGGTCGACGTCACGTCGACGGTTTCTCACCTGGATGGTGCAGTCGTCCCTGTACACGTTGTACGGGTTGATGAACTGCGTGAGCCTGTTGATGCCTTGGTTTGCGGCGCTGCACTTGGCGGCGTCACCTTTCGGCGAGAAACAGTTCTCCATAGCCTCGCTGTATATGTCGTCGGAGATGATCGAGTGTGTGTGCAGGAACTCGACGTTCCCGGGCAGCTCAAACTTACTGTCCGTCCAGGCATTGCCAATCTGTGGCATTTGGATCGATAGTGTGATCGAACTGACTTCAAGTAAGATTAGATCTAGCATACCGCGATTCCTTTGAAGTTTATGGAGCCGCCTTGAGAGTTGTAGCTCAGGATCTTTGATGCCAATGTTGGAATGTAATGCCCTGTGTCGCGTTTTTCAACACCACAGCTCTAAAGCATGATCCACTCTCGAGCTTACCTGCATAGCTCTCCCCAGTCACGTAGAAATCGTTCTTGGAATACTCTGGGAAAATTTTTAGCCACTCTATAAGAAACTGTAAATTCTGGTCGGCTGTAGAAACAAATTATCAAGTGTTAAGAGAATAACTGAAAAGAGGTTAACAAAACAAACCAGTGTTATCATCTGTATATGAATCATCAGAAGAATTCGAGTATGAGAAGCCCACACCGGCAGGGGACTCTAGAAAAATGATATTTGCATCTGCAAGTAGAGATTGGCAATCTTGTTTGCCAGCAATCTATTAAATTTTGTATGATCTTACTCTTGTTCCATGAGTATGCGTTGAGCTTGAGACCATTCTGCGACGGCCGGAAAGGTCCGAGCTCGCCAAGAGCACCCGATCCGACCGAAGAACAACCGGGACCTATACAAGCAAAAGCTCTAGAGATTCTTAGCAAAAACGAACCACGTTTTCGTTCTTTCTTTACCTCCATTGAGCCACAAGACGAGAGGTAACGAAGATGGAGAGTTGCTAGTAGTGTCTGCCTCGAAAAACCAATAGAAGAGTGCCTTGCCTGACTTGATTGGAACGTTTCCAGCGTAGTGTTTGAATCCAACTTGTGGCTGTCCCGGAAGCTTGGTGACAAGCTGAGATGGATCTGCTGCTAGAGAGAGTGAGATTGCCAGGATCGCAATTGTGGAAGCTGCAAGCAAAGAGCTTTGAGCTGCCATGATTTGTTACCTCTCTGATTGGTCTTAGTGACTTTATATATACATTTTAGTATGAAAGATTCAGTACTCAAGAACACCTTACGAATCCATTCTCAATAATTTGTCGCCAGATGTTACAAGATTTATCCGTGGATGTTTATAAAGTAAGATTGATTCTTTCTTTGCTTGATTCTCCATTTGGAGAGATTACGCCAGCAAGATGGTCAAACTGGAATGTTTGACAACGCGACAAATCGGTGATTTGCAAATTTTAGTGATGCTTTGGCAAAGTTTTCCTCCATCACTTAGTAGATTTGCTCCGGCATTTCATCGAAGAGTCCCTTTGGCCTCTCTTTGCGGCGACAGATTATGCGCGTTCTGTGCGTAGAGCTCGTTCCACCCATCGCATCTAAGGCATAGCTTATCCGTTTTAAGCATTACGTATGGAAGCATATTCTCCTTCTTCCAATGCCGGAAGCGCAGCACGACATCGCGCAGCTCATCAGGTCTTGCGGGAATTCCAGAAATCTCTTGAGGGCACAGGAGCTCCATCGCCGGATCCTTGCGGAAAACCCACGCGACAGGTTTCTGGCCAATTTGGCGATCGAGATGTTTGGGCGATGCGGCAGCCCGGAGGACGCTCGTCGGGTGTTCGATCGGATTGAGAGCCCCAATACGTTCTCCTGGAACATCATGATCTCGGCATATGCCCACAATGGATACGCCACCGAGGCGGGAGAGTTCTTTGCCCGAATTCCCCGCCCGGACGTGATCTCGTGGACGGCCATGATGAATGCATACGTGGAAGCCGGTGATCTAGCCCGAGCTAGAGTAATATTCGATCAAATCCCTGAGAAGAATCTTGTGTCGTGGAACGCAATAGTCGCAGCATATGCCATAAACGGGCATTTGCAAGATGCTAAGAAACTCTTTGATAAGATGCCCGTGACAACGGTGAAGGCATGCACAGCGATGGTGGAGGCTTACGGATCCAACGGTGAGCTACATAAGGCACTCCACGTGTTCGAATCTGCGCCGGACAAGGACACCATCCTGTGGAACGCAATGATCCAGGCATTCATCCACAACCAGAATATTCCCCAAGCCAGGAGGATCTTCGAATCGATGCCCAGGAGAGATTCCTCATCCTGGAACACGATGCTGGCCGGCTACGCGGGGGCGGGCGATCTGGGGCAGGCCAAGTGGATGTTCGATGCCAATCCGACCAAGACCGTTGTTTCGTGGACGGCCATGATCACGGCGTACGCCTTGTACGGACTCATGGAAGCCGCCGTACGCATGTTCCGCGCGATGCCGTACAAGGACGTGGTCGCCTGGAATGCGATGCTCCAGGCGTTCGCGGACAATGGGGATCTCCAAAGCGCGCAGACGATCTTCCACCAGATCGATCGCCCGGATCCGGCGTCCTGGAGCGCGATGATCGCGGCGTATGCCCAGCACGGGCATCTCGACGACGCGCGGCGTGTCTTCGATTCCATCCCGGCCAGATTGCTGCGCCGCAGCGTCGTGCCGTGGAACGCGATGCTGGCGGCCATCGCGCAGCTCGGCACCGCAGCTGCGGCCGTGGAGTTCTTCTCCCAAATGCCCACCAAGGACGTGGTCTCGCACACGCTCGCCATCGTCGCGCTCGCGCGCAATGGCGATTTAAACGATGCCAGGAGAGTTTTCGATGCGATGGAGAGGCGAGATCTCGTCGCTTGGGCCGCGATGCTCGCGGGCTACGCTGGAAATGGGCGATTGGACGAGGCCGAGGCGCTGTTCCAGAGAATGCCACAGAGCAGCGTTGGATCGTGGAGCGCTGTGATCCAGGCGTGTGCGCAAAACGGGCAAGGGGAGGCGGCGCTGGATTTCTTCCGGAGGATGGAGCAAAGAGGAGTGGAAGCTGACGCGCTGGCGATCATGGGAGTTCTCGCGGCGTGTAGCCATGTTGGATCGGTGGAGGAAGCCTGGTACTATTTCACGTCCATGGAGATTGACAGGGGGATCCTTCCCAAGTTGGAGCACTACCACAGCATGGTTGACGCGCTGGGACGGTCTGGCAGGATGAGAGAGGCCGAGGAACTTATCCACACCATGCCGTTCCTTCCAACTTCTATATCGTGGACGACGCTTCTGGGAGCTTGCAAGATCCACAAAAACGTCGAGCTTGCGGAGCTTGCTGCGGAGAACGCTCGCCGGCTCCAGCCACAGAACATTGCGTCCTACGTGCTGCTCTCGAATTTGATTACTGCATGATACGAGATCGAAACTTTGAAACGGTGCAGAACCACACGAGAACGAACCTGTTTGTGTAGTTTCACTTTGGAGTGGCACAGATCTGGCGGGTGATCGTTCCGTTGAATAATGCACACGCCTGAAAAAAGAAAGCTTTTACTTCTGCCTGGAACAAAGTCTCAACATACCAGCTTCGCACTAAGTCCGATCTTATGAAGGTCCTGGAGCTGAGAGTTTACACGTATACCACCGTGAGTTAGTATGTGACATTTGCTAGCAAGTCTAACCTCCTTGATTGGCGATTTCTCATTTTCCCGTAACTGTAGTATGTAGTCCGCTCTCTTTTCTCCAATACCCTGTGAGGTGCTACTGCTTAGAAAGTGTTACAATTTGTTAAAACTCGAGCACACCTTAAGCGCCAGCAATTCCTCTCTATAAACCGAAAGATCAGCGAGTTAAAGCTCATGCAAGAGCGAGTCAATACAAAAATGAGTACCTCTTTCCTCTGTTTAAGACTTGGATGTATTCCTTCATTAATGTATCCTGTCCAGTTTTTGTATGGTTAGAAAGACCGAGGAAGGGTAAGCGGCAGTTTTATTACCTGGACAAGCTGGCTTCGCATGTTAAGCTTTTCCAATGGTGTCTGGCTCGAGGACGAGTCAGGCAGGCACTGGAAAATGGGACTTAGGTCGAAACTTTTTTCGTGATTGGATGGAAGAGGAGAAAGCGCCTCACGCATGGAAGTTCCTAGACAACGAAGCTTTGCACTGAGCGGAGGAGATTTCGGGCTCCCGAGGTTGAAAGGAGAAGTTGGAGCCACGTTTTCTTTCTCGATTTCTTCTGCATCACAGTGGAGTTTCGGTGGCGAAAGCATTACAATTTTTGTACCTGTAAGTGCTCCAGTCTGAAACGTAGGCAGTTCTTTAAAAACTTGGAATTTCAAGCCCGTGTCTGTCCGGAACCGGCTGCAAAAAATCGAAAGAGTCAAACCATAACCCGGTACAATTCTTCACTGCTGAACCTGACTTCTGATTCCTCTTTGCAAGATTTTTGCAGCGATGACTTTCCCTTCAGACTCGCTGGGGTGGATCTTTGCAATGGGGAGAATAACCTGGCTGGAGATTTTGCGCAGTTCTTACTTCTTTCCTCTCGCCAAGCTTTAAGTTTTACTTCCATGTCAACTTTCTCGTGTGGATTGTCTTCAGCGAACTTATTCACTATCTGTCTTGACTTTGCGGCAAGATTTAAGGTATGTATAGCTTCTTGATACGAGCCCGGGTTCTACTGAATATAAGGTTTAGTACGAAAGCATTTTGTAAAATTGCCAGCAAAACTTACCAGGCATGCAATCATAATGGCACAGCTTGTTCCTCCCAGAGAGTCTTGCAAGATTCGTGTCAGCTTGCTGTCCCTGTATGGTATCCTAGTTTCTTTCGAGTTCAGCGCACAAATCACGTTTGAAAGAGCAAACAATGATTGATTGATACGACTGCTTTCGGCCAAACGGACACCTTCATTTCCAGACCGACGATTGTCCTCGTTTCCTGAGACATAAGGCAAATGCATTGAAAAACTTAAAACATAGAGATCGTTAGAAGCGATGCCGTACCTGCAAGATCAATAAGGTTGAGCTTCCCGACTGCCATCTTCTCGATGTTATCCAGGTTTCCAGTTGTTACTGACACAGTCAATATGGCATGACTTCGACTAGAAACGTCATTTAGTTCAGTCTGGCCCGTCTTACGGCCGGAACAGCCTTTTAAATACACCGCTTGAAACTCCTCGATATCTTTAACAAGAACCTGTTTGAGAATTGAAGCTTTGAACAAACGACGAAAGGGACAAGGAACTATGCCTTACCTGGGATAAACCGCGAAGCTGAATATGTCCGTGGATATCATCCATCACAGAAACTTCCATTCGTTTTGGTTCCAAAAGGTCATAGCAGCGATCCATATATATCTCACAGTATGATACATTTACGGTGGCCTCCACCGCATTTGCTATGGAGAGGATTGCTGCCATAGTTAAGGGAATGAGCCCATCTTTTCCCACTCCCTGGAGAGGAAAAAAAAGAAGAAGAAAAACTTGATTCATTCACAAGGAAGAAACAAGAGAAACCTCACCTGCATTGTGTGGGTTTTGCCACTGCCAGTAGCTCCATACACAAAAACCGTAGCGTTGCAACCACGGAAAAGTATCGGAACGATTGGTTCCATCTCCATCTTAAATATGTAGCTGATATGGTCCTCGGCTCCATAGCAAAAGTCGAGCTTGTAAGTCTCTCTCCTACTGTTAGACAAAGAGCACACAAAGTTGCCAAGAAAATGGAAGTTTATCCTCTTTCCTTACCCAGTGATCTCGTTCTTTATGTGAAGACTACTCGATTCCGTGTCATTGTCCCTGCTAATGCCAAGACAGGAATTCTCGCCTTCTTCCGCGGACAGGAACGGCCGGATCCGGCAAATCACGCGAATCCTCGAGCTGGGCGCGTTCCTGGCGACCCTCGCAGGAGTCCCCACTAGGGATTTGCCGGGCGTCCGGACCCTAGGGCTCAACATCCTGGAAGATCTTTGAAACAAGAGGAGAGATCCAGCGCTAGAAATCGCTTACCAGCTTGAGTAATTGAAAGAGTAGCGATCGAGCGCCTCTTGGTCAGCGTCCTCGCCGATCTCTGCTCACTCACAGCGATTTGAATTCCAAGGCGCCATCGCAACGAGGGCCGTTGGATGGAAACCGGCATATTCCAGCGATCGAGAGCCGCGACTAATTATAAGATTAGCATAAAAGTAACCCTTTCCTACGGTATAAAAGCGAGAGGGGGTTGCCATTGGCTAGGCTATCGGCTATTCGGCAATAGGTTTTTGAGAGGAGAGAAAGAAGAGAGAAGAGAAGGGAAGAGATCAAGAGAGATGGCACGCACTGAGGGATGTGGCTGCGCTACTCCATGCCCTTGCGGCGACGCTTGCAAGTAATCTCTCTCGCCCCCTCTCCCTTTTGCCCAAGCTTTAGACACTAATCGCTGCGTGTGCTTTCATCTATAGGTGTGGGATGGACAAGGAGAAATCGTCCGCTCCAGGCGCTGAGACCTCATCGTAAGTTTGGATCGTGCTCGAATTCGCGGCCCTTTTCAACCTTTTGATTGATGGCTTTGGCTTTGCGCAGATCGTTTTGCAGCTGCGGCGAGAAGTGCAGCTGCGACCCTTGCTCGTGCTCCAAGGTGAGCGCCTCGGGCGACGGCTTCTGCAAGTGTGGCAGCGAGTGCAAGTGTGACAAGTGCTCCTGCGCCAAGTCGGTGGTGGCGAGGGCGTGAACCAAGTGTCCTGAGCGTACTCCATGTAAGAGGAAACATGTGTTCCCTGTTGTCTAGAGGACAGTTTATAAAAGCTTGTACTTTCTAGCTTCTTATGAATCAAACAAAAGTTCCATCGTTTTCCTTATCACTTTTCCTTAAGTACATTACATGTTTTAAGCCCACATCAAACTCATCATAAAATTAAAAGATCAAACATGCATATCACACAGCCAAAACATTTCACTCTCATAGTCAACGGTCAAACCCAAAATGTCAACGGTCAGTTCTAATATTAGGGCTCTTAAAATCTAGGATCCCTAAAACGCGCGGGTTTCTTGAATCTAGGGCTGGTGTATGGAAGAGAGGCATGGCGCACGGCCGCAGCACCAGGTGAGTAGTAGCTCCGGGGGATCCTACGCGCATCCGCCGGAATGCCGCATCATCGACCTCCCCCCGGTGGTAATCCTCGAGATTTTCCGGCATTTGGACCCGCGGGAGCTGTCCGTGGTGGCGTGCGTGTGCCCGCTCTTCCGCATCCTCGCCTCGGACAGCCACGGCTGGAAGGAGTACTACTGCGAGCGATGGGGGCTGCCCGGCGCCGTCGCCCCGGCGCACGAATGGAAGCAGCTCTATGTCGCCAGGGAGACGCGCTGCAAGGCGCTGCTGGGGCGGTTCAAGCTGGATCTTCTGTGCGGCCACACCGAGACCGTGAGGGCGGTGAGGTTGGTCCCGGCCAGGAACTTGGTGGTGTCTGCCGGATACGACTCCTCGGTGAGGATCTGGGATGTGGGCGATGGCCTCCCGGCGGCGTGGTCGCAGCCGCTGGGCGAGACCATTCGGGCTGTGGCGGTGGACGGTGAGCTCCTGGCTGTTGGTGGGAGCTCCGTGGTGAGAGTCTGGCACGCCAGCCCGGGTTGCTCCCACCTGTTTGATCTGGCGAGGAACTCGAGCGGGCGGTTCCTGCGGGGACACTCGGGTCCCGTGACGTGCCTGGGCTTAGACGCTAGAGCTCTATACAGTGGTTCCTGGGACATGACCGTGAAGATCTGGAAGAGGCACCGGCTGGAGAAGTTCTCGCAGAGCTTGCACCACTCGGACTGGGTCTGGGGGCTGGTTGCTCGCGGGGAGTGTGTGCTGAGCACCTCCGGCAGTGATGCTTACTCCTGGGACGTGGAAACCGGGGCTTTGCTGAGGTTCCGGCCTTGCGTCCATCGAGGCAATGCTCTTGCCGTGGAAGGCAGCCGGACTGGAAGCTTTCTCATCACTGGCGGAGAGGATGGGGCTGTGCGGGTGTTCGACAACAGGATTCCACCGTCGGTGACTCTGGCAGGAGAATGCAGCGAGAATGACGCGGTGGCGGCATGGCTTCCCCACTCGGCCGCGGTGAATTCTCTAGCTTTTGACGATCCTTCGCTCGTCTCGGCCTCGGCGGATGGCTCCATAGCTCTCATGGACCTGAGGCACGTCATGAGGAAAGGAAGCATCAAGTCGAGAGCGGCGGCCACGGTGAAGCGCCCCTACACTTGCGTGGTGAAAGGAGACACGGTGCAAAGGATGCTGTCCAGCGGTGGCTCTTGCGCTTACTCGGTGGACATTGGCTCGGACAGGATTGTGAGTGCCGGGGAGGGGACGGCGATCAAGGTCTGGGACTTCTCCCAGGCTCTCGAGTTTGAGAAGAAAACACAGGCGCTTCGAAGCGTCCGGAGAGAGCAGAGAGCTCAGCGGAAGCTCGCGATTAAGAACAGGAGAAAGGAATGACTAGTAGGTGGTGCCAGGAACTTTGGTTCAGCGATAAAGGGGATCGACTACACAAAGTTGGTAACGCTCGAGATCGATCTCAACTCACGGACATTATTTCAAAACAAAATGGTCTTGAAGATCATGCTTCTGGAGATCAGTCTCCATTAAAAAAACAAATTTTCTCAATTCTTACCGAAGATGTAACTCGAAGATCATGCCTCTGGGAATAAGGCTTCCAACAAAAAACCAAAATTTTCAATATCTTAGAAGTATCAAAGCGAAAGAACACCTTGTACGTGAGTCAATCACGAAGAACCCCGGAAAGAAGGTTGCGAACCTGTCGCATTGTTGGCCTGTTTCCCGGATTGCTATCTACGCAGCGCAGCGCCGTGACAAGCACAGTGGTGGCCTCCTCCGCGTTGAAAATTCCCTTGAGCCTTGGATCCACGACACCCAAGAGCTTCCCGGCCGCGTACTCCTCCTCCACCCATGGCAGCAGCAGCCATGCTTTGTGATCCTTCTCCTCCTTGGAGCTCCCAATCACGCGCCTCCCAGTCACAACCTCGAGCGCCACCACGCCATAGCTGTAGACATCCGACGCGGGCGTGAACTTGTACGTGACCCCGACCTCGGGCGCGATGTATCCCAGCGTCCCCGCGAGCGTGGTGACGCGTGCGCTCACGTCATGGCTGGCTGTGCGCGCGAGGCCAAAGTCGCCCAGCCTCGCGCGAAACTCGTCGTCCAGCATCACGTTGCTGCATTTCACGTCGCGGTGGATGATCTGCTGCTCCCAGTCCTCGTGGAGGTAGATGAGCGCGGCGGCGAGGCCCGAGAGGATCCGGAGCCGCGCGTCCCAGAGGAGGAGCAGCGCGTCACATTTGTGGAAGAGCGCCGACTCGACACTCCCCTGGGGCATGTAGTCGTAGACGAGGACGAGCTCGCGGTGGTCGCGCGCGCAGTGCCAGCCGCGGAGAGGGACAAGGTTGCGGTGGCTGAGCTTGCTGATGATCTGGAGCTCCGCCAGGAACTCGCGCTCGCCCTGGTGCGAGTCCCGCGCCATCTTCTTGATGGCCACCGGGGAGTTCTCGCCGGGGAGGATGCCACGGTAGACGCTGCCAAAGCCGCCTGTGCCCAGGAGGTTGTGCTCGCTAAACTCTTGGGTGGCGGCGGCGAGCTGCGCGTAGGGGATCTCGTGTGGCAGCGGCACAAGGTCCTTGGACGAGCTCTTCTTCTTCTTCTTCTCGGATGGGAAGCCAAGTTTGCTCCAGGGATTTTTGACAAGCCAGCTGACGACCGCGAGGAGCAGCAACGCGGCGAGGAGCGCCAGGAGTGATGCAGTGACGATGAAGTAAACCTTGAATCGATCTTTCTTCTTTCCACCATCGACCACTGTCACTGGTGATGGAGGAGGAATCCTCTCCAATCTGCTCGAGAAGTTCCAGGACAGGATTCGGTGGAAGTCGAGGTTGGCGGTGCCAGAGCCGGCAGAGAAGCCCACGTACGAGACATCGCTGACATAGGCGCACAAATTCAGGCTGTGCTCCAGCACCGGGTCGCCCAAGTTCCGGAACGATGGGTCGGAGGAGACGAACACTCGCAGCCCCTGCACGGCGGCATCGTAGTCGATCCTCGCCGCGACGGTACCGATGCCAAGAGAGATCCCCCGCGGATTGAGGGAGCTCGAGTTCACGGACAGGATCCCGTTGATGTCGAGGCCGACGTGGTTGCCATCGATGTCCTGGAACTCGGGATAGTCTGGTGGAAAGTTCCTGAAAGTGTCGAATTCCACCGCGACGATGCGGTTGCTCGCGCGGCCATTCGCGGCGGGATCGAACAAGCCCAGCCAGCGGCCATAGCCCTCAGCGGAGGTGGCGGTGAGGTTAGGGGCGATAGTGAACGCCAGGCCATCGGCATTGACCTGTGTGGAGTCGTTCTTGGTGATGGCGAAGACGAACTCGGTGGAGAAGGAGGCGGCGGCGCTGGCGGATGCGTTGCAAAGCTGGATCTCCTGCTGCTTCATGATCCTGCCATAGCTCGACAGGCGATTGCCGGTGAGCCGGAGCTCGTCATTGTTGATGGTCGCGTCACCAGTGGCCACAAAATCGTTGCGTGCCAGGCCCGAGAAGCTGCTGTATGTGAAACTTACATGATCATCAAGCGCTGCTATTGCGTCTAGTGCCACGATCGAAAACACGATCGCCAGAGCTTTGGCCATGGGACCAACCAGCGCTAGAAGAGCTAGACCGATCAACCCTGCAGCTTTTAACCAGTGAGCCACGGCTTGTCCAAGTCCATTTTCCATCTTCTATTATCTTGATAGGATAGTTTCCAACGCGGAGGAGGCTGCCACAGCACGGCGCTGTGATGGTTTGATAGCACTGGGTCCCAGGATCCTCCAGACCGCGTACTCCGCCGCCAACAGCCACGCAGATGTGGACTTCAAGTATGTTTGGGTAAAGGCTGAAACATTCATTGTTTCAGGAGCTGGAAAATCTTCTAAACTAAGGCTAACCTTCTAATTATATTGGGTACTTTAACAATTTGCTATGACTACCCAACACTATCAAGAAATCCGTCAGCGGCGACGATCGAGTACGACGCTTGGATCCCGCTGCCACATGAAATCCCATACGGGCAAGACTCGAGCCTTTTTGAGTTAGTGAGCAATCTGTTAGTAACACTTTCGGTGGACGATGTTTGGCCCATACTCATCGTAGTCTCCCTTGGTGAGATGCTGGTTTTGAGGGAACACCACCTTGGCGAGGATGGCGCCGCCAATCCATGCCGAGTATTGCAGCGTCCGCTCTGGCATGTACTCCGGAGGCTGCGAAAGCGGAAGAGAATGAGAAAGACGAAAGCCAGAAAAGTTTCACTGCTTTTTTGCCTTCACTACGGAGGGCCGCAAGGAGGGAGTTCCGTGAAGAGACACCTCCTTCTGAAAGCGAGCTTCAAAACCTGGGAAGTGCTTAGAAGGTGAGCTAGAAAAGAACAAAGATCAAATCTTGCCTTTCATCGTTGAAGTGCCTCCACACAGCACAATGTTCTCGATCAGAGGCTTCTGGCATTCGGCAGGAGAGCAGAGCGAAAGGCTTCTCACAAGCTGCTCCGTGATCCCGTATTCCTGGATTTCCACAAGTGATGGCTGATAGAGCACCTCACCAAGTGTGTATCTTTCACTTCCAACAGACCTGTCTCCACAAACACGAGCTATGAAAACATACACAGCAGCAAAAGCTTACGCGACCGTCAGGTAGCGTGTGTTCTATGACAGATCCCTCAGCCACCTTCTTCTCGTAATCCACAGAATCGTCCAGACTCACTGCTACTGCTTCTTTGATCTGCTCCAGCGCAAAACCATCCAGCTTCGTGTGAGGATTGGACTTGGCCAGCTTAGTCCCGAGGAGCTCTGTCAAGTCCTGTCCAGCGTACTCGAACCGCTTGACGGCGTTGTGCTGGATTCCACCCTCCCACACGGGCGCAATATCTGCAGCGAAAACAAGTCTTGTGCACCATTCGTTACATTGTTACACAACGTTACCAGAGCCACTGTGAATGAGTACCTATTTTCCCATGTCCGACGTCCACTGCACAGCCAGAGATGCGTCCCACAGCATACACGGACAGCACTGGTTGCTCCACGGCATAGAAGCCATTCACATTGAAAGTTTCAAACATAAGTTGGACGGTCTTCTCCCTTGCAATCTGTCACAGAAAATCAAGCATGAGTTTCAAACAGTTCGCAGATGCCATGACGATGACAAGGAGTCACTGCTCACACGAAAGGCAAGCCTCTTTCTTTTGTCCTTTCTTTGTTCCCTCGTTCTTCTTTCTTTCATTTTGTATGACTGACTTCTTTGTGTTCACTCGTAGCTAGGGAGACATGGTTTTCGGTATCCTTGTTCTTCTATCTTTTTGTCTTTGTATCAAGTCATAGACATGGTTTTCGCTTTTTTTTTTTTTGGAAGTCGGCAATTAAAATTTGGCCCTCGTTTCCAACCTCCCAGCCCAGGCCTGTGTAGAAAACATACCTCCACAGGTCTTCCATGGCTTCCCAGTCATGGATAGCTCCTCTCTCGATGGGATTCACGGCATTCTCCTTCCAATCGTCTCCATTCAAGTCGATCTTGTCGATGTCGCCCTCGTCCGCCTTGGTCATTGCCGTTTGCATCACCTACAGGCGGAGCGCAAGCATCTAAACCCAATGTCGATGGATTCCTAGAGTGATTACCAGCTGAGGATCTTGCTCGGGGATCGCGAAGCCGGCCTTGAGCAGCCTGGAGCCGGCGTCGATCACTATCGCCTCTGCTGCCATAGCGGACAAGAACCCTAAAATCTCTCGGTTTGCTTTATATCTCGCGTTCGATTCTCCTGGCTAACAAAAAGCTAACGAAACTTCGTCGTTAGGCGGCCATAACTAGAACTTTGATGGTTCCCTGGCTATTGGCGGCTAACAAAGTTGGACTGTCGCTCTTCCAACACACGGCGCTGATGAAATGCAATGAGTCGTCTAAGCTTCCAAATCGGTGTCGAGTTGCTGGTCTAGAAATCGCCTGAAAAAAAAAGAGAAAAGTATAAGAAACACTTCCGAAGATGAGAAGAAAAATTCGCATTTTTACCTTGTGATACACGAACACTTCGTTGGTTTCACTTCCACAGGTTACGTAGTCACTGTTACCGCTCAAACCAACGAAGTTCCTCTCGTTTATATGCCCAGTTAGCGTTCTAATCTGCATAGAAGCTAGAAGTTTAAAACAAGAGCTTCAAAACAAGAGCGAGCTTACCGGAGTGTTAGTTCTGACATTCCAGATCCGCAAGGTGCTATCAGTCGATGCGGACACGAGCTCCTCCGGCGTGATGAACTTCACGTACGAGACGGTCTTTTGGTGGCCGCTAAAGGTGTGGACTGGCGAAGCAGGAGAGCGCAAATCGTAGTAATGTATGCGGTGATCGGCCGATCCAACCTGCAAATGCTTGGAAATGAATAAAACACCACTGTACCAAACCGATAACTCACAAGAGATAGAAAAAGAGTACCGCTACAAAATTGCTGGAGCTGGGATTGAACTTGACGCAGCAGATGTTGGCTTTCATGTCGATTCCCATGACGCTGCTCTCCTGTCGAGTAGACCACACTTTGAGCTGCAAGTTTTTCTCAAAGTTAGATGGAAACAAAGAATTTTCAAAAAGATACGTTCTAACCTTGCCATCGTCACTGCCAGAAACAAGTAAATTGGGATCGGTTCTAGCAAAATCGACACTCCACGCTCGCTTGGCATGCTCTTCGTACTCCATGATACTCTGAAATCAAGATAGGAACGGAAGCTCTCGCCCGTCTCACTAGGATCTTGTGATTGCTTTCGCTTTTGCAAATAACAATCTTGCAGGTCTTCAAAATGTGCACCACACACAGAGGAAGTTGGCCGACTGTTACAATCAAGAAATCCAAGGAGCATACCTGAGAAAGCACTCGCCTCTTTTTCGAAAGAACCTCACTTTCTCTCACTCCAGACGTTCCCTCGTCATCAGTTTGCGCTCGCTTAAGACGAGCTTTTTCTCCATCCGGGGAGCTCCCTTCCGCTTCGGACGCCTTGACACGACAGCGAGAGCTAGGAAGCTTTTGGTGAACAGGCGACGCATGACGTTCTTTGGATTTCTTCAAACTAGTCGCCTGCTTTTCAACAGCAGCAATGTCTTCCTTGAGCCATTGCAGGTCTGTTTGTATCTGAACGAAGAAAACGTCGTGAGTAAGATCACAGGTCCGGAGTTCTCACCTCGTTTAACTCTTGCTGCTTCTGTTGCCTCGACCGCTGCAAGAAATCATGCAAGACCTCCAAATTTGTTTCAGTCAACAAACTCAAAAGTGTATCGATGTCTTTCATCGAGATGTCTGCTCCCTGAGAATCACAAACAAAACATCAGCACTATAACTAAAAACCAAACTTTTCGACAAAAAAGACCTGTTTGAGAGCAAGCCGCAGGTGCTCTCCCGGTGACGTAGAGCTGGCAACTTGGCACACACTCGCCTTCCTCAAATCTCCAACAGAGGAAACCATGGAACATCAAACTTCCGAGCAAGATGGCAAAACAAATCGAAGGTACCTTGTTGAGAAGGAAATTCGGGTAGAGCTGGCCGCTGGTCAAGTAAGCTCCACAGCAGGGACAGTTGCTCTTGATGTTTAGATGCGTCATGATGCACAGCTGTGGCCGCAGCTCGTCAAAAACGCGTCTTTGATCGTCTGGATGCATATCGGGCACAGGAAATCCCTGTCGAGCTCGAGATTGTAGCTGGAGGCCTCGGTTCTCGTCCCACACACGGATGGAACTTGGGCAGCGTCAGAGGAGCGAGCTTGCATCTCCGTGAGCCTCTATCATTCTCTCGCCTTAATAGGACGAACTTACAAGACCCCGCGCTTCTTCTTTTCTGCCTTCTTCGTCTTCTCGCCCGTCCCGCTCTAGGGATTATTGTTGTGTGAGAGAGCGAGGAATGTCGGGCATATTCTAAGGGTGATTACGTGGCCGGCCGTGATTGGAGGACATCTCAGGTCGGTAAGAAGCCACGATAAGGGCCATCCCGCCGTCCAGGCCCACGTGGTGTCTACCAGCTTCAACTTCGTCAAACCAACCAAGAGTCAAGTCAATGCGTAGAGATGATGGTGTGAAATGTGCTCCGGAATATGCTCTCTAGCTTTTGACGATCGTCTCGGCCTCGGCGGATGGCTCCATAGCTCTCATGGACCTGAGGCACGTCATGAGGAAAGGAAGCATCAAGTCGAGAGCAGCGGCCACGGTGAAGCGCCCCTACAAAATGAAAGGAGACACTGCGCAAAGGATGCTGTCCAGCGGTGGCTCTTGCGCTTACTCAGTGGACTTGGCTCGGACAGGATTGTGAGTGCCGGGGAGGGGACGGCGATCAAGGTCTGGGACTTCTCCCAGGCTCTCGAGTTTGAGAAGAAAACACAGGCGCTTCGAAGCGTCCGGAGAGAGCAGAGAGCTCAGCGGAAGCTCGCGATTAAGAACAGGAGAAAGGAATGACTGCCAGGAACTTCGGTTCAGGGATAAAGGGGATCGACTACACAAAGTTGGTAACGCTCGATATCGATCTCAACTCACCGACATTATTTCAAAACAAAATGGTCTTGAAGATCATGCTTCTGGAGATTAGTCTCCAGTAAAAAACCTCAATTATTTCCAAATATCTAACACGAAGATCATGCCAAAAAACCAAAGTTTTCAATATCTTAAAAGTATCAAAGAAAGATCAATCACGAAGAACCACGGAAAGAAGGTTGCGAACCTGTCGCATCGTTGGCCTGTTTCCCGGATTGCTATCTATGCATCGCAGCGCCGTGACAAGCACTCTGGTGGCCTCCTCCGCGTTGAAAACTCCCTACAGCCTTGGATCCACGACACCCAAGAGCTTCCCGGCCGCGTACTGCTCCTCCACCCATGGCACCAGCAGCCATGCGTTGTGATCCTTCTCCTTGGAGCTCCCAATCACCCGCCTCCCAGTCACAACCTCGAGCGTCACCACGCCATAGCTGTAGACATCCGACGCGGGCGTGAACTTGTATGTGACCCCGACCTCGGGCGCGATGTATCCCAGCGTCCCCGCGAGCGTGGTGGTGCGTGAGCTCACGTCATGGCTGGCTGTGCGCGCGAGGCCAACGTCGCCCAGCCTCGCGCGAAACTCTTCGTCCAGCATCACGTTGCTGCATTTCACGTCGCGGTGGATGACCTGCTGCTCCCAGTCCTCGTGGAGGTAGATGAGTGCGGCGGCG